ACTGAGTGACCCACACCTATAGGCTCATCATTGTTCCAGATTGGGACAAGCCCTATACTTAGGGGAAATTTAAACAGACAGATTAGGGTAACTGAGGTGACCCAGGCTTAGGCTGGTCTAGCTCAGACACTCGGAATGGTGGGCCTGGAAAGGAACTTTGTTATCACTCTCTCTCTTTCAATCCTTTTGGACTTGTAGTACACCTCTGTCACTGGGCTTGTGCTTTGGTGAGGAAGGGATGTACAGAGGAAGGTGAAAGGGAAAGGATATCCTACTTTTGTGGAAAGAGCGGGGCTTTACAGTTACCAGTCTGGGGCCACATCCTAACTCCATGGTTAGTTAGCTGTGTGACCTGGTTACGCTGCCTCTGGGAGCCTCCATTGCTTCACTATACAATAGGGATAATAGAATCAAATTTAAAATGGTGAACATCAAAGACCACCATCCTGTCTAAGGTACCATCAGCTCTTGCCTGTTATTACAATAACCTGCTAATTAACCGCTCTCCCTGCTTCCACCCTTGCTCCCCTACAGTCTATATGCAACACAACACCTGGAACAGTTCTATTTAAAAAGGCAAGTTGGATGATTTCTTCCTTTGCTTAAAATCTTATTATGCTTTCTAATTTCCCGCAGGGTAAAACCAAAATCCCTATGATCGCTTAAAACAGGATTTCTCAACCTTGGCACTTGATGAGGATAATTTTTTGTTATAGAGCTGTCCTGTACAGTGTAGGATGTTTAGCGGCATCTCTGGCCTCTACCCACTAGATGCTAGAATACCACATGCTTCCCCCAGCTGTGACAACCAAAAATGTCTGCAGACAATGGCAGATGTCTCCTGGGAGTCAAAATTGTCCCTGGTTGAGAGCGACTAGCCTAAAAGGGCTTGGATGATCTCTTCACCTCCATCCCCTCCTTCTATTCTGCCCTTCATTCATTGGGATCTAGCTGTCTGGTCTCCTTGCTATTCTTCAAAAGCCCCCACCTCACAGTCTTTGCCCCTGCTATGTCTTCTGACCGTAATATTCTTCCTCCAGATATCCACACAGCTCACTCTCTCACCTCCTTCAAGAATTTACCCAAATGTCACCTTCTCATTGAGACTTTCCCTGACCACCCTATTTAAAATGTTAATCCTCCTCACTCCCTATCTCTCTAGCTTGCTTTATTTTTCTCCAGTGCACTTATTAACCTCTAATATAGTACGAGGAGCCCTGGTAGCACAGTGGTTAAGTGCTCGGCTGCTAACTGAAAGGTTGGCAGTTAGAATCCACCAGATACTCTGCTGGGGAAAGATGTGGCAGTCTACTTCTGTAAAGATTACAGCCTTGGGAATCCTATAGGGCAGTTCTACTCTGTCCTAGAGAGTCGCTATGAGTCTGAATCAACTCCATGGCGATGGGTTAATTTAGTATAAAATTATTTTGTTTGTTTTCTGTCTCGCCTATGAAAATGAAAGATCCGAGAGGGCAAGAACTTTGTTTTCTTCACTGCTCTGTCCCCAGTGCCTAGAACAGTGCCCAGCATATAGTAGGTGCTCAATAAAAATTTGTTGAATGGATGAATGAATTCTACATACAGTTCTGACATGCATGTAGGAGGCAATCAAGGAGTATTAGTTTCCTTTTCCTCATTCCTCTGTGACCAAGCCACCATTGTGACCAGATTGCTTTAGGATTTAATCATGGTTCTTCCTCTGTCTTACTGCTCTTTTAACCTCCACCCCCACCTGCCCCCCAGGAATTAGGGCTCTGTTCCTCAACCTCACTTAGTGCCATGAGTTTGATTGACCAGCACTCTTGATTCTGACTACTTCACTTCTTTCCACCACTCTATGATAATTCAGGACATTTATCTGTTCAAACCTTCCTAGTGCAGATCACCTGTCTGGATTGCCACCTCCCGGTCCCCAGACTCCCCAGATGCTGTGTCCCTCTGCTACCTCTGCTCTTCCTGACTGGACCTGCACAACCTTCTCAGCCCTTCTTTCCTACCAATAACACACTCACCCCCCTTCATTCCCAGAGGCTGAGGTGGGTCTGATCTCTAGTTCTAACATAACCTGCCCACATCCCCAAATCTACAACTACCTTCTCTCAAAACCTTGGAAAAGTCCCCAGAGGTTACATCTCCCTTCTGTCTGTTCATCCACCAAGAAATCTGAAATTGGGGCAGGCCTCTCTTTCCATGAAAGGCTTGCCTGAATTTTCTTGCTTCCACTTGACTGTAATGTGAGCCAGCACTCGGAGCCCGTAGAAACATGACACCGTTCAATAAGCAAACAACTGTAAATGCCAAGAAGGCATTTCAAATGAAAGAAGGCTTGGAGTCCAGGTTGGCCGTCATCATTACTGTGTTAACATGACGTTAGACTGTTTCTTTGGCAGACATCATAATAATATCAGTAGGGACTTATATGGATACAGTAGTTAGTTGCCTCTGATAAGAAAGGATCAAATAATGAAGTACAAAATACTTCTGCCTCAGTTTTGCTTGTATGCCAGAGGGGTGTGGGGTTTGGGACAAAATCCAGAAACATGTAAAGCACAAACTTGGTTAAGCAACCCCCTGAAAACTAAATTCTTAATTAGAAATAGATTTATGGACACTATCCCAAAGTGCTCACATAAGCAAAACGATTGAAACATAACGCAATTTTTTTTAGATAAAACTGAAGATCATTTCTCAAATTGTCAGTGGAATCTATGATTTGAAGGACACTGATACATAAACAGACATTTAAGGTTCTAAGAATTTCATGAACAGCTCAAGATATTCAAGGACACCAGTTGAAACGACAATTATGATTTGATTTCTGGACATCTGGCCATGGTATCCAGCCAACTCATTCTCCTTTCTCCCCCTCTTCCCATTCTACTTTCTAGCAGTTTTTCTACAAGCTACCAAAGGAAGGGACTGGCACAGATGAGCCCTCCTTGTCCTTGAACTTTTCAGTTGCTGAATGCTATGTGACTTGGCAGCCATTTATCACCTTCACAATGACCAGCAGGCTAGAGGGGCAGGACAAGAGTCTGGCTTCCTGGTTGGCATCTATAATGTTTCCTGCAATGGTCTGGAAATGAAAAGTACATTTGTTGCCACACCAGCCCTGCAGAGAAGAAAATGTGAAGCGAAGAAGGGCATCCATTGCTCAGTCTGCATGATCATACAAGTTGTATACAGATTATGTGCATCAAAGTTATTTCTCTGTGCAGTCAGATGTTGAAATCTTGAGTGCCAAAGCTGTCAACAACATCTAGATAGTGTCTCATCGTCTTCCTAAATAAACTTGATTTTATTAATTGTGCTCTACTTTACATCATGAGCATTAACAAAGAAAAGTAGCTATTATGTTTTGGGGAAAAAAAAGTCACATTTTAAAATATCTCATTTTTGGAATTTCGCAAGTCCTTGATAAAATACCCAAACATCTAGATCTTGGCCGAACTCCAAGTTGTGTCAGGAATGACTCTGCAGTTCCTCAGTGAATGGCAGTGTTATGCAAAACATGTTGATCCTGTGCTCAGCAATCAATTAGTGAATGTTTATTGAACACTCACTGTGTACAAGGCACCATACTAATGCAGCATATTAAAAAAAAAAACCTCAGTGGGGAACCTAATTATACTAGGGGAACAAACAGAGAAAGCTTTCATCTTTCATTAGGTAAGAGGAAAATGTCAGTGGAGAAACAGCTTTATTTATAAACTTCTTTACCCAACAATTGTTCCATAATAATAAATAAGTGAAAATATGTATTATGAAAGGAAAAGGCAGAACAGAATCCAAAATTTTTTGCTGTGAAGAGAATTGACGTAGAGCATCTTGGTTAAAAAACACAAGAGTGAGTCAACAGAAGTCATGATAAAGACTGAGCTGCTTTTCCCTGTGATATTTCGAGAACTCTTTGTAGAAGCCGGCTCTGATGCTGGCCCTTAGTAATTGGTTTCAAGAGACATGAGGTTGCCAGCATTTTTCTCCTTAACGTTTATGCATCTAAAGAAGATCTGTCTTCCATGCAAACTGAACAATGGTGAATTTAGAGTAATGTTAATAGGTATGTAAGTTAAGTATAGCTAGTGGAAAAAATTTTATTAACTGGCAACCTTGAAGTAGAAAACACAGGTTCCTATGACTGCAATTAGACCCAACTGCAGTCTATAATATTGAATTCCGCTCTGACATTTTCCCAAAAAGGAACAAACATCTTTTGCAGCTCCAAAAAATTCTGGGATAAAATTGCCTGCTTTATTCATTTGAGATAAAATTCCCTTCGAAAAAAAATCCAGCTGTGCACTCCCTTCCCCATCACTGTGCTGATCCAGAATAGAACTGTCATCAGTCCGTAGCAGGCATATTGAATTTTCCCTACCCAGTCTCCATTACCCATTTTCTGTTGAGAATGGCGCCCCAGTTTTCCTTTAGGGAATTTTTGTGATTCAAGTGTCTCTAACCTCATCCCTTGTTTTCAAATATGGGCACATGGCCCAGGCCTGGCCAAACAGAGCATCCCTGGCCATAATATTGGGTCAGAGATTGGTCTTGACCAAGCCAGATCAATGAGACCCAGTTTGGAGACTCTCGCTGGAACTACTGGGAAGGAGGCACACTCTATCCAACAGGGTTGGTAAATTGGTGGTAACCGCCTTCTCCCCCCTGGAGGAGTTTACCTGAGAACGAAGCCAACATGGAGAAAAGCCGAGCTGAGAGATGGAAAGAAATAGACACTTGAAGATATCTTTTGAGCATCTAGATCAAGCTATAAGTGAAGCCCCTATTTCAGCTAACTGACACACTTCGGTCTGCCTACCTCTGTACTCCCTACCCCTCCCTGGTCATGCCCTACCTAGTTGCCAGGACTTTTACGTGATCATACCTTGCAGATCACCAGCCTTGGATGCCCCTTCACCTGCCCCTAGACTCTCCTGGTAATGCCTTTCCTACATGGTTTTCCCCCCGCTAGAACCTGCACAGCATCCTCATCCTGTCTGTCTTACCCACACTATCTCCCACTTTCCAACACCTTCCCAAAGGTGGGTCTGGTCTCCATTTCTAGCACTCTCTGCCTGCTCCTTCCGGCTCAACTTCATTCTCGTAAAACCATGGATGTTTTCATTCTGTGACCAATACATTTTGTTTTGCATAATGTACTTTGTGTGAGAGTTCTGTGACTGGCAACTGAAATAGCCTTTGATCTTCATTGGTAACAAAACTTAATCTTCTAAGAGCAGATTGATTTGTTTTAAAGAGCCAAGAGTCACTTAGAGCAGGTTTTTTTTTTTTAAAGATAGACATCGAAAAAGAAAATACCAAAATTTTGTGCCTAAAACATTTTATGACTAAAATGTAATGAAATTTATTTCATACATGCCTCCAGTAATTCAAAAAAGGAAACCCCCATAGTGCTGCCTTAAATTGAAATGTCACTTATTTAAATATATTATCACACAACTATCAATAATCAAGAGAATGGCTTTACAGCTGCATTAGTATTATCTGGGGAGGCTGGTTTAAAATTCAGATTTCTTGGACCCACTCACAATCATTGAATCAGAATCTCTAGGAATTGGGCCTGGGAATGTCCATTTTTTGACAAATTTCCTGGTAATTTCTAGGTGTGCTAGAATTTGAGCACCAATGCTTTCAGTTATGTTTCATATATGTCTTTTTAGTTCCCCTTTAAGTGACACTATATAAACCTAAAGAATAATTCTAAGACCATATCCTCACTGAGACTAAATGAGTGCATCTGTGAAAAGCAAGAGAGGTTCAGGCAATTTAGAAATGCTGAGAGGTATGATGTATTAGTAAGCTTGGGCAAAGGTAACTCTGGTAACCAATAAACCAAAATATTAATGGCTTACAACTTCAAAGGTTTATTTCTTTTGTATTTACGTGTCCACCACAGGACACTCCAAGACTCCAGGCTGCTGGACCAGTCTCCCTCTTCGATATGGCTGGTCTTGCAGCAGACAGTATAAAAAATAGGTGGACTATAAGCTGGCTTTTAAAGGTCGGCTCAGAAGACACACATGTTACTTACAGTCCCATTTCATTGCCCAAGGCAGGTCACATGACCACTCCTCTGTTCAGTGGAGCTGGGGAAGAGAATCCTTCTATAGGAAAAGGATACTGCAGTGAGGGTGAAGCATCCAAGGGAGGGGTAGCAAATATTTTGAACAGAAATAGAAACTACTGCATGAGACACTTGTTGAAGTAGGTCAAGTGTCCTTGAATAAAAAAGGGAGGAATCCATGGAACTGCTACATGTATATCATCTCTGGAGCTACACAATATAAACCAGCATTGCAAATGGTTTGCTCTCTGCTGCTAACTGAAAGGTTAGCAGTTTGAGCCCATCCCGCGGCATCATGTGAGAAAGGCCTGAAGATTTGCTTCCATGAAGATTACAGCCAAGAAAGTCCTAGGGAGCTCAGTTCCACTTTGTGACACATGGGGTTGCCATGAGTCATAATTGACTCAATGGCAATAGGTTTTTTTTTTTTTTTTTAAAGAAGTCCTATAATAGAAAAAAACAAAATAGCATTGTTTAACTTCATATGTCTCAAGCTTTGTTTCCATGGAAACTATCTTAGTTACCTAGTGCTGCTATAACAGAAATACCACAAATGGGTGGCTTTAACAAACAGAAATTTATTTTCTGACAGTTTAGGAGGCTAGAAGTCCAAATTCAGGGTGCTGGCTCTAGGGGAAGGCTTTCTCTCTCTGTTGGCTCTGGAGGAAGGTCCTTGTCTCTTCTGAGCTTCTGCTCCTGGGTGAGCTTTATGTGGTTTGGCATTTCTCTTCTCCCATTGCTGCTTGCTCACTTGCTTGTTAATCTGTTTTATAGCTTTTAAAAGAGATTGACTCAAAGACACACTCTACACTAATCCTGTCTCATTAACATAATAAAGACAACCCATTCCCAAATGGGATTATAATCACAGGCGTAGAGGTTAGGATTTACAACACGTATTTTTGGGGGACTCAGTTCAATCCATAACAGAACCCTTTTCAAAAAACATCATCACAGCATTTTCACTGGCCAAGTAAGTCATTTGTTTTGTGAGCAAAATAATATTTTCTTCTCCTCCTACTACAAAGCATGCATGCGGGATATTCCTAGTCGAATATTGCATAATAGACTCTGTGTGCCTTAAGCTATTACATGTGTAAAAATAGGTTCTGTTATTCTACTAGGTCATCAAAAAACCTGGGGAATTCTATGCAAATACCTTTAACATGACTCTAACTGGTTATAGGCTGTTGAAACTTAATAGCGTTATTGGAGAGCACAGAAGAAGCAAATCTAATAAACTGGTTGTTCCAGGTATGGGAGTGTTCCAGAAAAGATTTTTCTTTTAAATCTTTTTCATTACCATGTTTGGAATTAGGCAATTCCTGTAAATTGAAGCAATGCGCTTCTTCTCCCATTTATGGGAACCTGTCATTTTAAAAGTTCATAAGCAGTTCTGTAGTTATAAATAAAAATACTCAACTCTAAAAGACTCATAATTGGGGAAGCTAATTTTTTACGTTTTCTCTGCCTATACCCAAATGCTTTCTTGCACTTACTCTGGGGTGCTTATGATGTATAATTTTTATGTCCCTGTGTAAGTGGAAGGAGCCCTGGTGGCACTAGTGGTTAAGCGCTCAGCTGCTAACTGAAAGGTCGGAGGTTCAAACCCACCAGCCACTCCCCGGGAGAAAGAAGTGGCGGTCTGCTTCTGTAAAGATTTACAGCCTTGGAAACCCTGGGGCAGTTCTACTCTGTCCTACAGGGTCACTGTGCGTCAGAATCAACTCTGCGGCAATGGGTTTGGTTTAGTTTTGGTGTAAGTAGAGTTGCTCTATAGGAGAATTTTCTTGTTTCTCAGTCATCATGGCTGAAGAATGCCACAAACAGAGGTGGCATTGGTCACCTCACGATCCTTCCAGTTTTACGTCACTGCTGGTGACTGCCTGTTTGAAAACCCCTCCCCTCTGCTCTGACACCTTTCTCTCCTTTGTCACTGGCTCTCAGTCTTTCCTGGCTCCTCCCCTAAATCTACTCCTTAAATAATAAGGCTCCTCCGATTTCTGCCCTTGGCCCTCTTCTCATCTCACTGTCTGCATTTTCAGGGTGAACTTATCAACTCTCTGACCTTCAACCCCACCCAGATCTGCTCTATCCCACATTGCTTCTGGGCATGGGTATTATACTCTAATTGCTAACAGGTCATCACCACCTGGTGCCCCACATCTGCCTCAAAATTAAGGTATCCCAAACAAACTCTTAATTTTCCTCCCTAAAGCTTCTCGTATTCTTTGTTTCAATTCATTGTCTCATCACATATTCATCCTTCTGAGCCAAAATTGGGGAACTGTGTTTGGCACCTCCATTTCACACATCCCCAAGTTCCAACTCCTGTCTACACTCGGCCTGTGCAACTTCAGAAAAGTGAAACTTGAGATGTTCTTCTCTATCTCCGTGCATGAGCCTAGTTCAGATGTTGATTATCATTTGCCTGATTATATATGAAGAGTGTGGATTCTGGCACCAGACTGCTTGGGATGGAATTCTGAATCTATTACTTACTGTGGAGTGACGTAGTCATATTAGTTAACCTCTCTGTGCCTCAGTTTCTCATCTGTAAAATAAAGATTAGTATAACACCTACCATTTGAGATTATTGTGAGAATTAATTTGGTAAATATATGTAAAATGTTTCTGGCACATAGTAAGTGTGCAATAAATATTAGCTATTAGTATTATTCAGTCATAGAATTCTCACCTTCCATGTGGGAGACCTGAGTTCTATTTCTACTTATTGCACCTCATGTGTCATGTGTCAGTGGAGGCATGTTGTTATGATGCTGAACAGGTTTCAGCAGAGCTTCCAGACTAACATGGACTAGGAAGAAAAGCCTGGTGATCTACTTCCAAAAATCAGTCAATGAAAACCCTATGGATCACAGCAGTTAGTCTGCTACCAATGATGGGGGCAGTGCAGGACCAGGCATCATTTCATCCTGTTGTGCATGACTATGAGTCAGGGGCCAACTCAACCATAGCTAACAACAACAACAACAACGTTAGTATTATAACACCATTTTAGCTGATTTCCTTGGCACCAGTCTCTTTCCACTTCATCAGATCATCTTCTTAAGAAAAAAATCTGATTGTGTCACTCTTTAGCTTCTCTGGCTTTCTCCCACTTAAAGAATGAAGTTCAGCTTTCTTAGCAGAGCATTCATGATCCTTCAAAAACCTGTTTCCCTGCTCCTTTCTGGCTTCACTTCTGGCTGCCTATTCTCTAAAACACAGAGTCTACAGTCTAGGCTATACTAAACTTCTCACCATTCCTCAAATACTCCGTTCCCTTCCATAGTTCTGTGCCTTTGCATATACTGTTTCTGTATTAGTCAGCTTTCCTAGGTTATGCGGCTGTAACAACCATCCCCACGTCAAAGTGTGTTTCAATGACACAGGTTTATTTCTTGCATGAATTTCTTGTTGGCTGCAGGTTGGCTTCAGCTCTACTCTAAGGGTCTTCTTTATTCTGCAGTCTAGGCTGAATGAGAAGCTCCTCTCTGGAAATAGTTTTCTCATGCAGCAGGGGGAAAAGACTAGTTGGGAATGCCACGATGGGCCTTAGAGGGTTTGCTTAGAAGTGGCACAAAACACTTCCACTCACATTTTATTGGCTAAAGAAAGTGACATGGCCAAGCCTGACCTTAATGGGGCTGGGAGATATAAACCTGTCACAGGGAGGTGGAGTAAATAATTAGAAACAACAATATCATCTTCCACACTTCCCTATATTTGGAATGCCATCACATGCCCCTGCTCCTCCTCATTCTTCAAAACGTTCAAAGTTTTATTACCATCTCCTTTGTAAAGCTTTTCTGTTGGCACCAGGCAGAGTTAGCTAGCTTCTTTGTCTGCATTCTCTCAGGACTCTGGCCCTACTTCTAATAAAGTGCTTATCATGCTCTACTAAGATTATCTCTCTCTCTTTCTTTCTTTTACACACACACACACACACACACACATACACACACACACACACACACATACACACACACACAGGACCACAGTTTCTTGATT